ATATAATTTACTAGATATCTATGTGTTAATAATTATGATTATCATTATAGTATTTATTATTGTCCAGATAAAATGATTATTAAATAATATTCAAATATTTATTAGTTAAATATAATTATTATTAATATTCTCATAATTATTTATATTATACTAAAATAATATCATTATTAGAATATATCTTATTGATATTAACCATTTTTAAAATAATTAAATTATCATAAATTATTTATATAAATAGTATTTTAATATAGTATAATATATTATATTTTATTCGTAATATTTATTGTTTGATTAATTTTAATATATATTATTTATATTCTAATATTTAAATAATCATAATATTTTTTATTTAAATATTAGATTATAATTACCATAATCATTTATAATCATGATATTTAATTTATTCTTAAATTACGCATAATTTATTATCTTCTTTAATTTATAAATATGTTTATAATAAGATTTTAACATTTTATTAATATAGTTCATAAATAAATTAATATCACCATAATTGATATAAAATAATAAATTATATAGAAATAACATAGTTTAATATCATTAGAATATATCTCCAAATAAAATAATATAATATGACCTATTGATATTTGTTATAATCATAGATATTTTTTTATATTATAAATAAATTATATACCAATATTTTTACCAAATATATATACACGCAAACACACAAAATAAAAAAATATATTATTTCATAAAATTACTCTAAAAATATATCATAACTTAATACCAATATTTAATAAACAATATGATTTAAATAATCTATTGGTTATAATATTAAATTATTGTATTTAGAATATAATTATTATAGGATTTATAAATATTTGATATATTAAACAAAATATTTCAAATTAAATTATTCAAATAACAATTTTTTTGGTTAAATATAGATCATTAAAATCATTAAAATATTTAAATGAAGATATCTTATGAGAATTATATTGTATATTAAAAATATTGAGTATATTTGATAAAATTAAATATACTATCAATATAATAATAGTATATTTAATTAAAATCTTTAATATATACAAATAATAATTATATTTTATCAATAAGATTACCGAGAATATACTCGTACTATTTTGATATGATTATTTTTGGTAATTATTAGATATCTTCATTTAAATATTTTTATGATTTAATTATTTGAAATATTTTCTTATTTAGAATATTAGATTTAAATAATTTAATATTTCATGATAATCATTATATTTATTATATTATATTAATATCCAAATATAACTTGATATTATTTATTCCTAATCACAATAATTATTATTCAATATAATAATAATTATTTTATATTAATTATCAATATTTATATAATTATTAATGTTATCAAATATAATAATCTTATATTAGTACATTTTTAGTTATTTATATAGTATATAGTATAAAATTGATTATAGTTGATAACATTAATAATCATATATTAATAAAAAAATATTTTAATGATATTATCAAAATATAGGTAATAATACTATATATATTATTATATACTAGTTGATTATCATATAATGGATAATATAATAATATTATATCCTAATTAATTTATTTCATTTATAATATTTGTATACAATATTATCAAAATTATGATATGATAATAATAATAATAATATATAAGTTTATATTGTCGATATTTATTATAATGATTATAAATTTAATATATTATATAGGATTAAATAATTATTATAAATTGATAAATATAGTTTAAATTATTTTTCTAATCGTAAACTATTATATTAAATTGATAAATAGATAATCAAATATATATAAATAGGATAAATGATATCAATAATAAAATTGATCTTTATAATAAGTCACATTAATATATTTAATATAAATAGTATAACACAATATATAGTGTTTTATAAATACTATTTATTATCAAATATATTATTATTTCAATTTTATATTGAAATAATTACCATAATCATTTATAATCATAATATTTAATTTATTCTTAAATTAGCCATAATTTATTATCTTCTTTAATCTATAGTATCATTTTAGTTAAAAACAAATAATAACTATAATCATAATTGAGATTATGACAAAAATTGATTATTTACGCAATAGTATATCACACAAATATGATTATATTAATTGATAAGCTATTATATAGTTAATAAAATCATGATTGATAACTTCGACTATAAAAAGAGATGACCCATCATCTCCTCTTCGATGACGAGCAACAACTATAGATGGAGACCATCGGGATGGTCAATTCCTTAATACTAGAATCAATTAGGAGAGCCTTTTGAAGCCCCTTCCATATAAAACCCCCTATACTCTAGTAGGAATGCAAGGGTGCCAAATGGATTTAGCCCACTAGACTCACGAACGATGTCGTCTACAATAATTCCAAGATACTTTGGATTCAAAGTTGTTTGTCTTAAATAGATTAAAAACCATCTTATCTAGATAACTTTTATCAAATCATTATAGTTAGGGGGAATAAAAGAGAAGAATTCGTCTAAACATATAAAAGCCTCTTTTATTGATAAATTATAATCCAATGGTAGAGGGAGATTCAAAATAGTTCCACACCAATTATACCTCCAAAATGAATTAAAATTTTACCCATAATCCAAGAAGTACAACCTTCTAATACGAGTAAAGTGATTAAGTATAGACTTCCAAATATAAGAGGAATTAGAGCAATATTAAGGCATTGTGCTCGTATTTAGCTCTCGAGATCTTAGCCAATAAGCTATGCCTCTAAAAAAAGGACCAAGCCGAGTTTAGCTTGAAGACCATCCATAACTTGGGCTAAGCTATGAATACCCAATCCATCTTCCGACAACGAAAGACATACCCTATCCCAGCCTACCTAGTGATGTTTAGTCTCACTTGACAAGCTCCATAAAAAGTTTTCCATAATTTGTTCAAGTCTATGAATAGTTATTTTCGGCAAAGGAATAGCTAAGATAGTATGAATTGGAATACTACTTAGCACTCGCTTTCAAAAGTGTAATTCGAGCTTCAAAGGATAAGTATTTTGATTTCCTTCCCCTATCCTATTTGTCAAGGACTTCTCTAAACATTGAAAATATCTACATTTTATTCGACCATGAAATAAAGGCACTCTAAGTTATCCGATGGGAAAAGAATGATGATTACACCCGATCCATGCCTTGAGTAAAGCAATTCGACTAGTAGGCATTTTTTTCGAAGTGTAAAAACTACTCTTTGATAAGTTCAAAGATTGACCTAAAGCTTCCTCATAGTTCATAAGCAACTCGTCTAAGATGAAGAATTATCCGTTTAGAACCATTAGTGAATAGGAGCATATCATCCGCATAGAATAAATACATAATAATTATGTCACCATCTCCTCCTACTTTTTAAGGAGTGATCCGACTTTCTTTGGCTGCATTGTCTAAAGAATAAGAGAGAACTTGTCTGAACTAGGGTAAATAATACGAGAGATAAAGGATCTTCTTGTCCGACTCCTCTACCGGACTTAAAAAAGTCATAGTTCTTTCCTTGAATCCTAATAGCATACCAAACATTACTAATGCACCTATATACTAGATCACACACCGATTACAAAAACCTAATTCCCTCATGGTCCTTAACAAAAAACGACCACTCAATTCCGTCATAAGCTTTAGACATATCTAAATTAAAAATTATATTGTTATGTCACACCTTTTTGTTTAAATCGCGAGTAATTCTTGAGCAATTGCAATATTTTCAGTCATACTCCCGACCTTAACAAAGCATTCTTGCTCCAAAGAGATGATACGAGGTAGAACCTTACCTAATCTATTAGCTATGATTTTTGAAGTAATTTTACACCCAAGTGATGAGAGATTAATAGGTCTTAAATCACTCATAGCGAGTTGCATTTGGGACTTGAGGAATCAAGATTAAAATCGTTGTTGCCATACCTTTGGGAATATGCCCACCTCTAAAAAAATCCTAGATTGCCAAATGACTCGCTTAATCAAATACCAGTTCCTTTTGAAAAAATGGCCGGTAAAACCATCTAAACCTAGGACACTTGAAGAATTAAAACCATTAATTGCCTCCCAAATTTTAGCTTCGGATGGAATATCCGTTAGCATATTATTTTGGCTTAAAGAAACTTGTTTGAAATTTCCCACAAATAGAGATTTGTGATTGATATGTCTTCTAGCGAGAAAAAGATCTTTGAAAAACTCAACGACTACGGGTCCTATCTCATCCATATCATCCGTAAGTGTACCATCATGTCATCTTAAACTAAAATTTTATTTCTCGGCGTTATCCTTAATACGAGGCATGAAAAAAGGAGGTATTCGATCACTATCATGTACCCAATTTGCCCTTGATTTTTGTTGTAATAGATCTACCTCCCACCTATTCAATCGACATAGGTCCTCTCCGGTACATTGCAAATCCTTATTAATATTCTCATTCCATCCATGTAGCAACTCATTTTCAAGATGAACAACCTTGTCCTAGAGGTTCTCCATCTAACGATGAATATTACAAAAAATTTCCCAATTCCATTTTTTTAACCTATGACCTAAAATTTTCAACCTAGAGTGAAGGATATCCATAGGAGCACTAGAGCAAGTCTTTTCCCAAACACCTCTAATAAAGATGTTGTAGTCCTTATGTTCCATGCACATATGGTGGAACTTAAATAAAGAATGGGATCGCCTTATGGAATCAAATCGGATCAACAAAGGGGAGTGATCCGATTGAATCCTAGCAAGATGTTAGACCGATATAGCAGGAAGAGAGGATACAAAATGGCCATTAATTAGAACTCAATCAAGTCTCTCCTAGATTCTAGCTAATCCAGATTGATTATTACACCATGTATACTAACTACCTATATAACCAACATCATCTACTCCAATATTGTTATAACAATCCACAAAATCTCTCATTGCTTGAAGGTTAAAACTAGTTCCACCAACCTTTTTTGAGACATCTGCTATGACATTAAAATCTTCACTAGCCAAGGAAGCTGATACAGACTAGAGAACCGACCTAAGTTTGCTCACAACCTTAATCGCTTTACCCTAGAATGTTTGGCATGGACAAAAGAACATAATACCAGACTCTAACCATGCATTCGAATTTGTACAATGATTATTTGTTCAACAATATCCATGCTAGTAACAGAAATGTCTGAGTTCCAATAAAGCCAGATATGCATATTAACATGATTATAATACATGTTATGCATGAAATATACTTTTTTGCAATCATGTCTATTTTACACCCCCAACCCCCCACCCCTTCCCCTAATTTAGGTTCTAATATAGCTAAAAGCATTAGGCGATATTGTTTTTTAATAATTTTTAATAATTAATGGTATCTCTATTTCTTGTCCCCCTAGCATTCCATAATTTGACAGACATAATTTAAAAATCAGGGATAGAGGTACCTTGTGCTCGTAGAGCTGCCTGTGTCTTTCTTTTAAGCTATAGGTTAGGGTGATTTCCTTTTCTAACAAGATTTTTAATAGCTTCATGAATTTTGTTTACCTGAACCCTATCTTCCTGCTCAACATCTATCCGGTCAGACGATTGGGATCTTGTAAGCAACGGACTACTATCATTTATGTCGAAAGAATCATTATCCGACAGGGATCCTTGCCAACTAACCCGTTGAATATTCCTATCCAAAGACTCATCCTCTAAACCATCAAGAATGGAAAAATAGCTAGCCTCTTTCCCTGTATTAATTCCAAAGATATGATTACCCTCATTCTCATGGTTTCCCACTGCAGAGCTTGTAGGCAAGGTATAAAACTCAACCTAGTTGTCAATAAACATCCATCCCTCTTGTTGCTGCCTACAGTTATTGTCTACTTAGATCGTTCTTTCCACCTCTCCTTGACTCCCACTGAAAGTAGCTGAACCGACAAGGTCTCCTACAGCCCCTGTGTCATTAATCAATGCTGGAGTATCAATCACTCCATAAAGAATTGGAACAGAAAGGAAGTTACTGTCACTTGCTCTTTCATAATTTGTGATATGTTGGCTATAGTGTCATGCACTCCATGTGGATCACATATCAAGACAACGGGGTTAGCTCCTTTTTGTCCAGCAAAATGCAAAGCTTTGGGTGGGATATCTATAGTAACATGCATAGAACCCGGATGATTATATACCATGATATGTCTATTTCCTTCTATCACCATATCATGCATAACATTAGTACCAACTACTGCCTCATTCAATTTCTCTCCAGTTTGTCCCCCCAAAAACTTTGGCTGGTCCCTATTCCTGAACACCAAATGAGAAGCTTCTGCAATATCTGTCTCCTTCAATTTTATGAGTCGAGTGTCAGGGGGTTGCAATCTTTCTGATGTAGTATTATCACTTTCTTGTGAGGCTTGTGCATGAACTGTTACATCCAAATGCACTACACCATTTTGCTCTTTCAAGTTCACTGTCTGGGAGCCATGTCTAGTATCAAATGTGGACAGTCCATCTACTGATACTTGTGGTAGCTGGCCTAAAGAGACTTTGTGAGGCACATCTTCTTTGATGCTATTTTTCCTAGATACTCGAATTCATATTCCTTTGCCCTTTTCATTCACTTTGTCTGTAACCACAGGTTTTTGATGCACGACATTTACTGGACAAACATCAGCAGTGGTAGCTGTAACCTGAGCTGGAGTAACATGTCTCTTCTAACATTTTGCCTGGATGTGAGCTATCAACCCACAGCCTGAGCAGAAAGAAAGATTGCCTTCGTATTCCACTTTTTGCCAATATCCATTCTCCTTGGAACAGCCGATCCAAACTCTTAATGGTAGGCATTTTGAAACATCTATCTTCACACATATGCATGCAAACATAGGGTGGGTGAGGGAGCTTGTTCTCTCATCTGCTCTAAGGAAGACACCCAAGCACTCACCTATCCTTTTCAAGTATGAGGGAGTGAAGAACGTGAGAGGAAGATGGGGCAGCCGAATCCAAGCTGCAATCTTAAAGCTGTCTTTCTGAAAACCAAAATCAGGGCTCCATCGAAAACATCTATACATTGAGTTTTGTATTTTGTGATCCTCCTTTGTTAAGGCTTTAATTGTGTCTGCTTTTGAATATAGAAACACCATCACATGTCTTGGGTCTAATAACCCTATAACTGGAGTCATTTGCAACTACTAGTGATTCATGATATGCTGCTTTATCTCTGTCAAGTTTGGACATCCTCCCGAGAACTTAAGGACCAATGTATTTGTGAATTGTGATGCTGCCTTATCTAGCTCTAATGACGAAAATAAGCAAACTGGTTCCTCATTGATGAGCGAAGGCTGTCTTATTGTAAGAGGGAGATCCTTAATAGGAGGCTGGCTTACCATGTGTGTTTGTGTTTTATCTTGAGGTTTGAGCAAAGAGGCATAGCTTTTAGGAGGGTGCTGGGCATCCAACGGATTCTACCCCAAAGGCCATTGAGGGGGAGGAGCAGACCGAAGATCCAAGATAATAGGATTTCCAACAGCAGCTTCAGTCTTATTCTTTTTTTGTTCAAAGTTACCAGTATTAGTTATCGACACAGGAGAGTCAGCTTGAAGCCTTGGTGGGAGTAGCTCTCATGCCCGTGATGGAAAAGTTGCTGTCAACACTGGTACCATGTTACTGCTGGTTTGTCGTCCTGTGTGGTCTACCCTTTCATGGTCGTTGCTATATTGTTCAACACTGTCTATACTAGTTTGCAGTGATAGTGTTGTGTCGTGTATATGTGGTGGTGGAGGTTCCAGTAAGCATGAAGGGATTGGTGCCCTAGCCACCATGGCTGGGCGGTGAACAAAGCAGTAGGGTTTCGCTGAAACCGAAAGAGAAATCTCCTATTTTTTCGTTTTTTCTTTTTTCAAAAATTTCCTATCTCGCTTATATATGACAACAAATAAAAATATATGAATATCATAATTTGTTGACTATCAAATAATAAGATACTATAAGATATATAGTATTATGTTCATATATTGTATCTGATAAAATAATTAATTAAAAATATCAATATATTATTTGATTAATTTGAAATATTGTAATTATTTATCAAAATATTCTCAAATTATAGTTTATCCTTTTAAAATCTTCATAATTTAAGCCTATTTTATCAATAGATATTCCAAATAAAGTAGATATATTTTATGGATAATACTGTATTTATTAATAATTGAATTCTAATATTAATACATATATATATTAAAAATAAAATATATACTTATATATGACAATAAAATATATTTTAATATAGATATTATTTGATAATATTCTTGAAATATATATCTTGATAAATACATTATAAATATTGATAAATATATAATTAACAAAATTATTTGATTATAAATAATATAATCAAATTAACCAATATTAAGTTATCTATTTAAAAAATTATTTTATAACTAATCTTTAATAATATATTTATTTTATTTATCAAATTTATCTAACTATAGGTATTATTATTATAATATCTTTAATATATAGATAATATTGATAATATTGTAATAGCTAATCATAATTATAAAATATACTAGATTATTTTATTAAATATTATATAAAAAATTATATTATTATTTTCTATTTAATATAATTTATTCTCATTATGAGAATATTTAATATTGATTGTATACCTAATATCAACTATGATTATGTAACTATATTTCTATAGTTATTATAATTTCATTAAATAACTTTTATATTATTATCTAATGAGAATAAATATTGGTCATAAAATTTATGATAATGATTATATATTATCAAGTTATATTTGTTAATAACAAATAGTTATATTATTCAATATATCGCTATCTCAATAAGCTATATTATTCAAATAATTACTACTTTATATGATTTTCATATCATATTTATTCTCATATCATAATTATGATATAGTTAATATATTTATAGTATTTATGATCTAATATTAATCCTATTTATCATATTATATTAATTATTTAATTAAAATATCAATATTAAATATTATCATTAGTATATTCTTATATTATTTATTGGTTTATAATTATAATTATGACCTCGTCTAAATTGATAGGTTTATTATCATATAATAATATTATTATGATAATGATCATATAAATGGTAATATTCTCCTAAAATATGTTATTCAAATAATATATATTAAATCAATTATTAAAATATATAATTATAAGATATTTACCAACATATCATATCTATAATAGATATAATACCATAATAATATAAGATAATTGTTTTAAATTATTAATATCAAATAATCATTTAAAAATAATTTATTTTAGATAATTGATAATATAACAATGTTATATTGTATACATATACTAATATAATCTAATAAAATTGATATATTATATTTTGGGCTATTATTATTTAACATAATAATCTATTTCATAACAATATATTGTTATAAATTATTAAACTTGTATTTACTCAATATTTTATCAATCACATTAATATTACCATAATTTTATATATTGATTAAAATTATTTATAATTGTTATCAACAAATGGAAAGTTAACACTCATTCAGAATGTATTATCCTTTATCCCTATATTTAACATGGGTGTACTTCCAATGCCTAAAACAACCATCTACAGTGCTCTAAAGCTACATGTCTAATTTCTTCTAGAATAGAGGGGAGAAGTTAGACATCATTGGATTAGTTGGCGTAAAATGTCTCTTCCCATGCAAGAAGGTGGTCTAGATATAGAAAACCTAGGAGAAGTTATGAAGGCTATGAAAGGGAAGCTTGCATAGGCTTTTATCTCTAGTACTTCTTTATGGAGTTGTTTTATGCATGCCAAATATGGAAATCCTAATGAAATTTCACATCTAGACAAGCACCAAAGGCTCATTGGTTTGGAGATCCCTCTTTTCGTATATAAAGATCATCCTAGATAGTTCGATCTAGATAACTAGGGTCGGTGACCTTTATTTATGGAAGGATAAATGAACAAGTGTTGGACTTGTCCATTTTCACTCCTCGTTACGGATGAGGGAATCTCACTAGCTTAAGCAAAGAATAATCCAATGATATATGCCTCCCTCCTTCTCCCGATCGAGATGAACCGGACTCGTATTCATCTAGACAAGTAATTAGGCCGATACTCTATGCTACATGAAGGCTAAGTTGGGTAGACTTCATTCAAGGGATTATCATGAAGTAAATAGAATTTTTGGTCCTAAATTTGAGTGGTGGAGGAGCTTATGTAATAAATGGATTCCTTGGGAATCATGGTATGGAAATTTATGCACAATGCTTTGGCTATTGATGCAAAGTTTCAATTGTGTGGAATCCCTTTATCCCGAAAATGCAGATGTTGCAGCAGGCCCAAAGAAGAGACTAGGGACCATATGTTTATTCACAACGAAGCATCTTGTCACTTATAGAACTTTTTTGGTAATATACTGGATGTAACCCTAGGTGTTGTATCATTAATGCATTTAGCAACAAGATGGCCGTCCAAATGCAAACCCATCATGCAAAAAAGTTTCTCCCACTTGGTTGTCTTCAACATGGTCATATAGGAACTATGGCTAGCACAGTAATAAGTCAATCATTGAAGAAGAGGGAATGAATGCTGTAAACATCAAACTAAAAGTGATCTATTGGGTGATAGAGCTTAACAAGATGTTCAATATGAGAGGTTCGGTTTCTTTTCATGATAGGATCTATTTCAAGGCTTTGGGAATTCGGATTCATATGCCAATCATAGCTAGAGGTAGATGGATAAGATGGTCTCCTCCTTCTCTAAGTGCCTTAAAACTAAACGTCGATAAGTGCATCATGGGGAGGCATGTGTAGTGGGGGAGGTATTCTTCATAGTGAGCATGGGAAGATGCCGATGAGTTTCTCGATCTTCTTTAGAGTTGGTACCAATAACAAGGGAGAACTTCGAATATTAGGGAGGGCATAAAATTATACAAAATTCATAATTTTCACCCTTCCATCATTGAAGTAGATTCCTCTCTAGCTTTGAGTGGTTTGTTGTAATCAAAAAATCTCTCGTGGCATCTTGCTTACATCCTACGAGACTCGTTGGGCAAACATGATCCGGGTACAACATTCCAACATGTACACAGAGAGGAAATAACATTGCCGATGGGCTTACGACTTAGGCCTTTCATCACACTTCCCGTCAAATTGCGAGTGACGCTATCGAAGATTCCAAGCAGCTCGCATTCAAACTATTTGGTGGATGCTCGAGGTGGTTTTTTCTTTAGGCGGAATAGATAACATGAGGAAATTTAGTTGATTGGCTTGCTAGTCGGGGGTACTTCACCGAGCTATTGTTGAGGGCATCTCCATTTTATAATGCAAGATTTTGCACCAGTTTTCTTTTCATAGTTTTATGGTTAACGTATGGTAATGTCTACAATTAGGGTACTATTTTATTTCATGCATGTCTATCTATATGAAGTCTAGGGTGCCAGTACTTTCCCCTTCCAACCAGTGTAGCTTATCTTTAATTTTTATCTCAACATAATTGAAATATTGAATGCGGCATCTTCCTTTGAACAAAGGCATACCCGAGTATTTCGCCACTTCGTTCCTAAAGGAAAACCTATCCATAAGGAAAGTAGACTTTTTTCGCTAGGAGATAACTTATTACTACATAAGATGGAGCTCTTCCTCCGATTGATAATTTGACCACTACTTGTAGTATATATGCTAAGTAATGATAAAATTTTATCAATTGTGTTTTTTCCTCCATTGCAAAATAGAAGCATATCATCTACATAAAGAAGTTGTGAGATAATCGTGGTCTTACGACCATTCTAATAAGGCTTGATCATTCCTCTATCTATCCATGCATTTAGTCGGTGACTCGAAAGCATCTTATGCTAAAATAAAAAGAGCTAGAGATAATGGGTCACCTTGCCTTACTCCTCATTGAGATCTAAAGAATCCAAATGCACATAAATTAAAGCACAACGTATACTAGCAATTACTTAAGCATCGATAAATCGGATTACACAAAACTATTTGAGAATCCAAACTTCCTTATAACACTAATGATAAAACTCCATTCCATTCTATCATATAACTTCGCCATATCAATCTTTAAAATTAAATTCCCACCATGAATTTTCTTATCAATATCGTTGAATAGTTCCCGAGCAAAGGCTACATTTTCATTTATGGCTCTTCCATTCACAAACCCAATTTGTTCTTGAGAGATCGGAGAGAGAAGAACCATGCAAAGCCTTTTTGGTGATCACCCTAGATAGTATTTTGTACAAAAAGTTACAAAAGCTGATCAATCTTATATTAGTAAAGCTAGTAGGATTGGAACATTTGGGAATCAAAATTAGGTTGATTACGGTAACCCCTTTTGGAATATTTCCTCCTTTGAATATTTCTTGTATTGACAAAACCACATCCTTACCAATGATTTCCCAACAAGTTTTGAAGAAAGCATTAGTGAAACCATCGAGTCCGGGAGCACTCAACTCATATAGTTCAAAAATTGCTATTTTCACCTCATCTTTAGTGGAGATAGACATTAATTCCCTATTTTGCAAATATGAAACTATATAGGGAATCCTTTCCAAGAAAGTATCATCCATGCTAACTCGCTTCACTTTGTGAACAATTTTTAAAAGTACTCCATAGCTTCTCTACCAAGTCCGTCATCATCCGTCCACAATGATCCATCCTCTAAAGTCAATCCCAACTACGACTTATTTACATGGTTACCGATACTAGCATGGAAAAAAGTTGAATTTGTTTCACCTACAACCAACCATTTAACTCTAGATTTTTCCTGAAGAAATAACTCCTCCCGATCA